GGACCGGCTCCGCGTTTGTTCAAAATCACGCGCCCCGCGCCATTCCACCGCCACATCCCATAATACTGAGCCGCGCCGCCCTGGCAACCGGCCGCGTCACCCAACCAGCGCGCACGCGCAGCCCCTCCCCCTCCCCCTTCCACTTCCCTTAAGCCTGGACGCTTCCTTCCGGCGGCGGCTGCTATTGCTCCTTTTGCTTCTACTACCTCCGGCCGCTTCCGGGTTCATGACTGCATCACGCTGCCACGTGAGCTGACAGCGCCCGGTGGCTCCGGACTAAAGGCCAAGGCTACGCGCGGAGATGGGGGGGGGGTGCGGAGGTGGCTGCGCATGCGCCCGGCGCGGTCCTGGGACCTCCCCCCCCACACACACACACTCCGACCGGGCAGTGGGTGCGTTTCTCTCACGCAAGCACGCACTCGCTCTCCTCGCCTGTGGCTTTCTTGATCCTTGGTGCGTCTTGTGCTGTGGGCCCGCTCCTGGTCAGGTAGCCGGTGGTGTCAGCAAATAATGCCCTGGGGGCTAGTCCGGAAGATAAGCATCCCTGTAATGTTTGAGTACCCGCGGGTATGGCGTTCACTGACAAAGGGAGCATGGAAATCCGTATCTACAGGCCTAGGCAGACAAGATTCTTTGGATAAATCCCGTATCTTTTATTAGACCAACTCAAATAGTTGGACAAATTCTTCTTAGCACTCAGGCACAAACACCCTTCATCAGGCTGACAAAGCATCTGCAGATAGTCTGTTCTTCCTGGATGGAGTGGCCTATGGCTGCTTTACCACTCCATCCAGGAAGAGCACAGACCATCTGCAGGCACTTCCTCAGCCTGACAAAGGGTGTTTGTGCCTGAAAGCTTGTTAAGGAGAATGTTTCCAATTATTTGAGTTGGTCTAATATAAGATGCATGGGATTTAGGCAGACAAAATTCTTTGGGTATGTCCTTAGACCAACAGCTACAACCTACACCCTTATTTACAGACAGGCTCAGAGTAGTCTATAGCAAGATAAAGTCTTTGTTGGGAAGGACAGTATGTAAATCCTATATACATTTATACATACATATATATGCATTTATATGTGCATCTATCTATCATGATTCATGCATGTGCATGTGGATTTGTGTGTATATGTGGATTTGTGTGTTTAGATTGCATCTTTTATGTATTTAGAGATATATGCCAGGCTTGGCATTCAGCAGTGCCACTCACAGCAGACAGGGCCAGGCTTGGTGCTTGGCTGGTGCAGCCCCATCCCATGAGCCCGGTGCTGTTTGCAGGGGACGAGGACAGGGACAGGGCTGTGCTTGGCTGCGGTGGCCATCCCCTGTGGCTGGGCTCCCCACTCACAGGGGATGAGGCGGTGCCAGCTGAGTGGTGAGCCCAGGCCAGCCCCTGTCCTGTGAGCATTGCCAGGCTCAAGTGACACCATGGGCTGCACTGCAGGGGATGGGGCTGTGCCAGTAGAGCGATAAGCCTAGCCCCAATTCATACACTGTGCCTATGAAAATCCTTACCTTTCAGATGGGAAAGCCTTGCGTCAACCTACAGTGTGTTGGCCTATCCACCGTGAAATACAGTAATTATTTTTGACACTACAAAACTTTATAACTCTTTTGAAATAGAAGTAAATGTTTAAGGTTGCAAAAGCAATCAAAGCTTGGCATGACCTGAGTGTCCTATCTTGCAAAAGTAAGAAGGGTTTTTTCTTTATTTTTTAATGGAATACTAACTAAAATAATTTAAGCAAAGTGTCTCTAAGAGCATACTGGATTAAAATCTTTCTTCGAAGCATTTGCAAGTCAAGTGTTGCAAAAAGAGGGTTTTCTATTTGTGCAGGAAAATAAATGAAACCTCCTAGTTTTATTATCCCAGAAGAAAACCAGCTGCATGTGAACACACTTCAATGCAAATGTTTATACCTATTGGAATATTTGAAGTGGGTGTTCAGCATTTCCAGAAGGCAAATCATTTATAATTCAATACCTGGCTTCAAGCACCCATATTAGAAAATGTTGGCCTGCAAACACTGTTGTTATTATTGCTGTCATTTTTATTATTTTCCACAGGTTACATCTTTGGCATCCTTTTGTCTATGGCAGACAGTGGATATTGCAGCCTATGATGTAGCTGGTTTACAGTGTCTCATGTGACTGAACTGTCCAATTTGAGATTTGTGTGATCTGTGGCAGCAGTTACAAATGTATGTGTTATGGTTGGGTGGTTCGGGAGCTGCTTGCTTCCTACTGGCTCTTTTCTCTTCAAGTTGCTGGAGCCAATTTCTGTTGTGGACTTTGATGCCCTGGTGGAGACAACGATGCCACTTGTTCCCATCACTTGCCAAGGTTTCCCACTGGTCAGGATCAATTCCAAATACACTTGCATGTATCTTCGTAGCAAAGCTTGGGACCAGCACCGTATCTAGACACCTGGCAGCCCCAGGCAAACTTTTAGTATTGGGCCCCGCTTCACCAGAGATGATGATAATAACAATAAAAAAATAACCATGTCTAAGTCCCCAGTTCGCCCATGCCTGTGTCCAGTCCCGCTTGTGACATCCTGCTATTCCTGTTCCCTCCAACAGTTCCCTGTATAGCATGATCTTGGGTGTGCGTCCATCTTCCAATCTGCTCAGATGGCCTAGCCAGCGTAGTTATCTGTGTTTGAGCAGAGTTGTCACGCTTGGTAAACCAGCCACAGGTACTCGTCTGTAAGTGAGGCCAATTGGGATCTGCTTTGGAGGTGCAGAAAATACCGATTCTTCCACAGAAACGGCTGCGGAAGGGAAAGGAGTGATTAGCAGTCCCCTTGTCCACCTTGTTATTGACTTGAAATCACTTCAAGCGGGTGGGCCGGAGCGCGGGCTGGGCTTTGCTCCTGCTGCATCAAGTCCCAGCTGCAGCCAAAGCAGGGTCGTGGTGGCGCAGCACCAGGTAACGCTGCCCACGCCTACCCTGACACGTGAGAAGACAAAATCCAGCCCTTGCACTGAAGCCCCTGACCCCTGCTCGCCGGCCCTACGCCAGCGCTCACAGCCGGCTGCTCCGCAGGGCCCTAGCGCCCCGCTTCAGGCTCCCGCGCGGGGAGTGGGCAGGGACCAGCGTCGGGGAGGGGCCGCTGAAAGCCCCGCCCCCCGCGCTCGTTCGAAGGACTGGCGTCAGGTGACCCCCTCCCTACGCCGTGGCTTCGTGGAGGCCGCTCTACCCGCCGCCTCCTCTCGGTGGTGGGCGGAGGAGCGCGCGCTGGGCGAGAAATGGCGGCCGCGGTGAGGCAGGACTTGGCGCAGCTGATGAACTCCAGCGGCTCCCACAAGGACCTGGCGGGCAAGTGAGTAATGGCCCCGGTTGCCGCCCCATCCCCAAACCCAGTGGGCCGCGGGGGTCTGGCCGGCTCGGCTCCCGGGTTTTGACGAGGGGGTGCAGGTGATGAGGTACCTCATAGCATGTGTGTGACATCACCTATGGCGTTATTTCTGAGGGGTGTGTGCAGAGGGTGAGTTGCTTCATCACATGTATAACATCATGTATGATAAGGGGGTGCAGAGGGTGAGGGGCATCATCGCATTATACAAATGTATGTAATCAGGGAGCAGCAGGGAGGCCTTGTTCTCCCTGAGAAACCAGGGCAATGGGCTAGTTACCTCAGGGGTCTGAACATGAACCCACAGAGCCTGGGAAACAAGCAGGAAGATTAGGAAGACCTGTCACGGTCACAAAACTGTGACCTGCTTGGAATAAGAGACTTGATGGAAGCTCGCATGACTGGAGCACTGTCATGGATGGGTACAAACTGTTCAGGAAGGACAGGCAGGTGAGAAGAGGAGAAGGAGTTGCACCTTATGTAAAAGAGCCATGTGATTCCTCAGCAGTCCAGTATGAAGCCTGTTGAGAGCCTCTGGGTTACTGTCAGAGGGTAAAGCAAGAAAGATGATGTCGTGGTGGGGGTCTGCTATAGACCACCAGACCAGGAGGAAGTGGTGGATGAGGCTTTCTTCAAACAGCTTGCAGAAGTTTTTGATCACAGGCCCCGGTTCTCATGGGGGACTTCAATTACCCTGACATCTTCTGGGAGGGCAATACAGGAGTGCACAGGCCATCCAGGAAGTTCTTAGAGAATGTTGGGGACAACTTCTTGGTGCAAATGCTGGAGCGGCCAACTAGAGGCCGTGCTCTTTTGACCTGCTGCTCATAAACAAGAATGAAATGGAGGGGGTGTAGTAGTGGATGGCAACTTGGGCAGCAGTGACTGCAGGATGATTAGATTTAGGATCCTGAGGAAAGAAAGGAAGGACAGCAGCAGAGTAAGGACACTGGACTTTAGAAAAGCAGACTTTGACTCCCTCAGGGAACTGATGGGCAGGATCCCCCGAGAGGCCAGTCTGAGAGGGAAAGGAGTCCAGGAGACCTGGCTATACTTTAAAGAAACCTGACTGAGGGTGCAGGAACAAACTATCCTGATGTGCGGAAAGAAAAGCAAATGCGGCAAATGACTACCTTGGCTTAACTGAGAACTGTTCAATGAGCTTAAACACAAAAAGGAAGCTTACAGGAAGTGGAAGCTTGGACAAACAACTTGGGAGGTGTATAAGAGTATTGCTTGGGCATGTAGGGATGAAGTCAGGAAGGCTAAAGTGCTGGAGTTGCAGCTAGCAAGGGATGTGAAGGGAAACAAGAAGGGTTTCTTCAAGTATGTTAGCAAGAAGAGGAAGGTCAGGGAAAGTGTGGGTCGCTTACTGAATGGGGGAGGCAACCTACTGACAGATGATGAGGAAAAGGCTAAAGTGCTCAATGCCTTTATTACCTTGGTTTCCAAAGGCAAGGTCAGCTCCCAGACTACAGCACAGTTTGGGGAGAAGGTGAGCATCCCTCTGTGGTGAAGGAACAGGTTAGGGACTATTTACAAAAGCTGGACGTGTACAAGTCCATGGGGCCAGATGCAGGGAATCCAAGGGTGCTGAGGGAGTTGGCCAGTGCGATTGCAGAGGCTTTGGCTATTATCTTTGAAACTCATGGTGATGCAGGGAGATTCCGGACACTTGGAAAAAAGGCAAATATTGTGTCCATCTTTAAGTAAGAGAAGAAGGAGGATCCAGGGAACTACAGATCAGTCAGCCTCACCTCAGTCCCTGGAAAAATAATCGAGCAGGTCCTCAAAGAATCCATTTCTAAGCACATAAAGGAGAGGAAGGTGATTGGGAACAGTCCGCATGGATTCACCAAGGGCAGGTCATGCTCGACCAACCTGATTGCCGTCTATAAGGAGATAACTGGCTCTGTGGATGCAGAAAAAGCAGTAGACAATATACCTTGACTTTATCAAGGCTTTTGATACAGTCTGCCAAAGCATTCTTGGAAGCAAGTCGAGGTAGTATGGTTTGGATGAATGGACTATAAGGTGGATAGAACACTGGCTGGATTTTCAGTCTTGATGGGTAGTAATCAATGGCTCAATGTCTAGCTAGTGGCCAGTATCAAATTAAGTGCTCCTAGGGTCGGTTTTGTTCAATATCTTCCATAACGATCTGGAAGATGGGATGGATTGCACCCTCAGCAAGTCCATGGATGACACCAAGCTGGGGATGTAGTAGATACGCTGGAAGGTAGAGCTAGGATTCGGAGTGACCTAGACAATGGAGGATTGGGCCAAAAGAAATCTTATGAGGTTCAAAAAGGACAAGTGCAAAGTCCTGCACTTAGGACAAAAGAATCCCATGCACCGTTACAGCTTGGGGACTGACTGGCTAAGCAACAGCTCTCCAGAAAAGGACCTGGAGGTTACAATGGACAATAGGATAGATATGAGTCAGCAGTGTTCCCTTGTTGCCAGAAAGGCTAACGGCTCACTGGGCTGCACTAACAGGAGTGTTGCCAGAAGATCGAGGGAAGTAATTATTCCGCTCTGTTCTGCACTGGTGAGGCCACATCTGGAGTACCGTGTCCAGTTTTGGACCCCCCACTATAGAAAGGCTGTGGACAAACTGGAGAGAGTCCAGCAGGGAGCAGCAAAAATGGTTTAGGGGCTGGGGCACGTGACTTCTGAGGAGAGGCTGAGGGAACTGGGCTTATTTAGTCTGCAGAAGAGAAGATGGAGAAGGGATTTGATAGCAGCCATTTAACTACCTGAAGGGTGATCCCGAAGAGGATGCAGCTGGACTGTCTTCAGTGGTGACAAATGGCAGAATAAGGAGTGATGGTCTCAAGTTGCAGCAACGGATGTTTAAATTGAATATTAGGAACTATTTTATCACTAGGAGGGTGGTAAAGCACTGGAACAGGTTACCCAGAAAGGTGGTGGAATCTCCATCCTTGGAGGTTTTTAAGACCTGGCTGGACAAAGCTTTGGCCAGGATAATCTAGTTGGGGATGGTCTTGCTTTGAACAGGGATTGGATTGGATGACTTCCGGAGGTCCCTTCCAACCCTAATTTTCTATTATGTTATATCTATCTACATCTATAATATGACATCACATAACGTCATCTGTGATGGGAGCGCAGATGGTGAAGTGCCTCATTGCATGTATGTAACGACTTATAACAAGATGCAGGTAGGGAGGTTCATCATCACCTATGACAAGTGGGTTGCAGATGGTGAGGTGTCTTATCACCCAGAAACAACACCCATTTTTATATGGCTAAAAAGAACCGAGAAGATTTCGTCTTAGGCCAGCAGCCTGAGTCTGTATTAATCCATTTAAAGTAGAAGCAAGAACTAACAGAAGTTAATTAGAATGAGTTCAAAACAATCTGCAGGGCTGTGAAATATGAGCTGTGTGACCAGGAGCAGCTAACGGACACAGAATGGCAGAAAACAGGTCATCTTGACAGGTGGAGCATCAAGACCATGAACTACCCTGTCTTCATTTTAACATCTGTGGAATAAAGAGTTTAGAAGGAGTGGAGTAAATGACAATGAGCTGTGAAGTCAAGTGACTACCTCAGCACTGCTTGACTAGAAATGCTGCTGCCACTGCCAGGTAGTTGATTTTAAACTTTGGGTGGAGCAGGACTCAAAGGTTGGGTGTAAGTGCACTATGCACACCTCCCCACTCCCTGTCTGGATCCACCCCTGGATGCAAAGGTTACAAGGCCAGAAGGAACCGTCTCACCAAGAAGCCTGCTTATCAGGCCCAGCCCCTGCCCCAGGACATCACTGGGTCACTCCTTTGTCAGTCTTACAATTTCTGGGTGAGATAAAGCCCATCCCTTAGGAGATCCAAACTGTACTGCAAAACTTCTAGTATAGTTTTTTTTTTAAATGGCATAGTACAGATCTGCATCAGGCGGAGTATGTGATGCATTTACACTGACTTAGTTTACACTGCTGTTGTACACCATTATAAATTATACCAGGAGCCAGAGCAGACAGATGAACAGGTGCTTGGTGGTAACAGCTTTCATGGCCTTTATTATATCTGCAGCAGAGAGGCAAGTAATGACCTGCTTCCCTCTAGCCACCTGATACCCCAGTTTCCTGCGGAATTGCTGCATGTACATTTTTAACCCTGATTTTTTTTTTTTCCTGAGGTAATTCTACACTACATTCAAGCAGATTATTCTGGAATTAGTATATTGTGTGTCGTGTTCTCGTTTACCTCAATGCAAAGGCTGACTGCATAGGTGTAAACATGTCTAGACGTGTTCAGTGGCTGCCATCATCCTTTAAGTAATGTATCCTTCTCTAGTTACTATTCTACATTCCTTTTGAGGATAAAACAAGAGTTTTTGGGGGGGCGGGGTTGCTATACCACTGCTGCTAGGGAGCTAAGTTTCTTGGGAAGGACTCAGAACACCCCCATCAAATGGCGAAGTATCAGCTTTGCTGCTACTATAGATAGTACATACACCCTTGGTGTAGCTCAGGGAAGCATGTGGAGGAATGTCCATGTACCTCACTCCTGGAAGAGGGTACACCAGAAATGAAGTGTATAGGATAATTAACAAAAGAGTAGAAATAGCTACACACAATTTGTTTTCAAGTGCACAAAATTGAGAAGTAGAGAGAAATACTTTTTTCCTGTAAGTTACCATAATCATTTTACTCAGAATCGGGAGTTTACTTGTATTGCGGCAGAGCTAAAAGATTCAAATAAAAATTGGACTCATTGTACTAGATACAGTATAACTAAATTGTAAGGCAGAAGGTGGCATCTTAGAGGCATGGTGGCATCTTAAAGAACAGGTTCAGAAGCATGAGTTTTCATAAGCAACAGCCTACTTTATTAGACTTTCTCTTTCCTAAAGAGTACGTGGAGAAATGGACTAGATGGCTAGAAAGAGTGAGAAGAAAGAGAGGTACAAAGAGTTGAAATGATTTGTTCACACTGCACAACAAATCAGTGAGAGCACAGATGCCCAGCTTACTGCCCTATGCATGAGACAACCCTTTTTACACTTGTGAGTAACATGTAACATTTATAGACTTTCAAAAGAGTAGGCAGTGTGGATTTAAATGTCACCACGCCTATGGGGAGACCTGTGAGGTCTTATAATTTGTTTACAGATATAATCAGAAACCATGAGAACAAGGTTGCAGTAGTTACTGCTTGACATTAAAAGTTCACATTTTGGGGCAGGGGGGTTAATTTGTACTACGTTTTTAAAAAAGAAAACATTTTCACCCATCTGCTCTGAACCTCCAGACTCTGTCATATACCTCCTTGATTTCTCCTCCTGCCGGTGTTTCTTATTCCCCTTCAATCTAGTATTTTTGATCCTCTATCTCCAATGCATGACAGCATTAAAATGAATGTTACAAAATTTCAGTTTACTTTTCTGGTGCCAATTATAATACTCAAAAGACATTCAGCCTGTTTTTTAATCATCCTTTTGTATAAGCAAAATCTTTTAGCGTAACTAACACTACATGAATTATAGTTCACCTCATGTGAATATAAATTTTGGAGGACCTGGGCTGCAATTTGCAAAGGAGCCAGCACCCAGCTCCCACTGAATTTCATTGGGCTTGGAGCATATTAACTGCAGCTGTCTCTTTTTTTTCAATCTTGGGACAGATACCGTCAGATACTGGAAAAAGCAGTTCAGCTGTCTGGTGGGGAACAGCTAGAAGCTTTGAAAGCTTTTGTAGAAGCAAGTAAGTATCTGCAGTAATATTTGCTTTGTTCACACACTGTTGACTGAAGGCCTAGTTCTTGTTGGCTTTGTGCGGGCCGGGAGCGACCCGAGCACTTTTCCATGCTGCACGTGGGCTGTGGCCAGCAGACGCTGGATCGGAGGGGGAGGGCGACGAGCTGGAATTAGGCACAGACGCTTAACGGTAGATTTAAAGATTGTTTACTTACACCAGAGATGGTAGTGGTGTAGGCTGGAAAACTTGCTTGAGTTGCGGTTACAGACACAGACAACACGGACGGTCGCGTGGAGTTTGCTAGACTCCACGGAACAGCTCCGGATGCTCTGGGTGAGCGCCACCAAAATCGGACTCGTAAATACGTCTTATAAATTCTTTCCGCTCGAAGACGGGAAGAGGTGGGCGCTGGATCAGGTCGCCAAGCTCCTCTGAATCTCACACAGGGTTTCTATTACCCTGCCGTGTATCCAGAGTCTCCACGAGATGGATGTGGAGTCCTCTTCGGCTTGGGCAGAAACTGCTTAAGCCTCTTATACGGCTAACAGGCCAATCGCTAGCCGCCACGTGGGAATAATTTAGAACTAGCCAATAGCGGGG